CTGTTCCTGAAACAAACAATGTGATGGAAAGAACGTTACACTGCAATTGGAGTCTTTGGTGAGTTTCTGAATAGAAACCAAGTTTGCAGACAATCTTGGAACATGAAGAACATTTTTAAGGGTGAGGGAATTATTGATATAAATGTCTCCTTGGCCAGCTACGGTGGTAATTGATCCATCAGCTATAGTTATCTTTCGGTGACTAGAACATGGTGTATAGGACGTGAAATACTTAGAGGTGTAAGTCATATGGTCAGTGGCTCCGGAGTCTATCACCCAAGTATCAGAAGAAACTTTTTCTGAAGCACTAATAGCACAAGAAGAGGAAGAAATACCTGAAAACGCCAGTGAACATGTACCTGTCGTGGAAGGTTTCTCAAGTGTCTCCAACAAACTTCTCAGTTTTTCAATTCCTTCCTTGTGAAATCTTAGTGTCGGATCATGCAAACCAGACCCTCCTTCATCATGTGATTGAGTGCTCGCAACATGTGCTTGTCCTCTGTCATTAATGGTCCGATTGGGTCTCCCGTGAAGTTTCCAGCAGTGGTCCTTGGTATGACGGTGTTTTTTGCAGTGTGTGCAAAACAGTGAATCCCTATTGACAGATTTGGGTTGATTGGCTGGAACAAATGGTGAAATAGGACTGGTTTCCTTCCCTTCAGTAGCCTTCGCAGCTTTGGACACCATGGCAGATCCGTCTCCTCCATTCGTTTCCAACATAACACTTCTTCTACTTGCCTCGGCACGGATGATCGAAATTGTTTCGTTTAATGACGGCAGGTCTGGTTTCCCCAAAATCTGTACTCTGACCGCATCAAACTCAACATTGAGACCAGCAAGGAAGTCATAGATACGTTCCTTCTCAACAAATCGCTTTAAAATCGCTGCATCCTCACTACAGCGCATCTGAATGCATTGATAGTGGTCCATCTCCTGCCACAAGCCTTGCAAAAAACTCGAATATTCTGTGACAGTTCTTGCTCCTTGTTTGGCCGCTTGAATCTTTGTCTTAACTTCATAGATTTGAGCAGCATCATTGACTTTGGAGTATGTTTGTCGGATAGCATCCCAAATTTCCTTGGCGGATCTGAGAAACATGCATGTATCACTGATCTCTGGTAGCATCGAATTCCATAACCAAGACATCACCATCGAATCTTGTTCATCCCACGCAGCAAACTTCGGATCACTCTCCGAAGGACCCGTGCCTAGTAAGTGGCTTAATTTTCCTCGACCCTTCAAGAAAGTCCGGACAAGCTGAGACCATTTTAAATAATTCTTTCCGTTCAGTCGATACGCTGCCTGAATATTTTGCAGATCTCCGGGCTGGACAGCAACTGCACTCTCTGTTACAGGAGTGTCCGATGTTACTGTGGTTTTCGCAGATTCAGACATGGTTAAGAGGCAAAATCAGAAGAGATCGACTAGGAAGAAGAGAGAGTGGACTAATGGGATGGAAGAAAGGAATTCGGCCAGACGAGAAAAGAACAAACCAAAAAAAAATCTCAGGAAGGAGCCTAAAGCTCTGATACCATGAGGAAAACTAATGAGAGAATG